CTCCCTTAGATAATAAGTAATCCTTTAGTCTAATAAGCAGCGTAAACTTATTCTTTCGGCCGTGTGCTTGTTTAGCGGCTAACGAGAACTCGTCCGCGGTCCATTTAGCAAACGCGTGTCGGAATAAAGACTAAAGCTCGTAGTCTTTTAATCCCTTACTCTTTATATTTAAAAAGTCCTCGATAATTAATCTAGCTTTTGTATGACTTTTTAGCCTCGGATACGGTAATGAATCGAGATCAAAACCGAGGTCCGACGCGTCTTCGTCTAGTTCTTCGAAGGTATTCCGAGTGCTTAGATTAAAAAGTTGTGCCGGTGATCTAAAAAGAAGATCCGCACGCGTCGTAGAGAGTCGAGGTGCTTGAATCTTTATTATTTGAGCTTTTGCTAACGTTCCAGAAGCTCCTTATCTATTGCTCTCGTTGCTTCGGGGATCGATTGATTGCATATTACTTAGCTGAAGCTCCTCTTAGCTTCGAAAGGCGTATTATTGTGCTGTATATAGCTGGCGTGGCTTTATAGCGTTGATGAAATTATTATATTGCTATGTATAGCTAGCGTAGCTCTATAGCGTTGATAAGGTTGTATATAAGTGACTTAGTTCGGAATCACTCTTCCGTAGAAATTAGAAGTATCGAAGTATAAGCAAGCGACTTGGTACGGAATCGCTCTTCCGTTGTAAGGGAAAGGTATTCGAGGTATGAGAAAGCGACTTGGTACGGAATCGCTCTTCCGTTGTAAAGGAAAGGTATCGAAGTGTAAAAGAAAGCGACTTGGTACGGAATCGCTCTTCCGTTGTAAAAGGAGAAAAGTATCGTAGTAAAAGGGATTCTCGCTCTAAAGTATTCCTAGCTTCTCTATGATTAATCACTTAATAGTAAATCAACCACTGATTAGTATTGGATTGCTTTTAAGCGATTAGGAATATATATTCGTAAGGTCGTAACGTTCGTTAAAGTATTTGCAATTGCAAAACATTCGGTTGATAAAGTATTTGAATTCTGTCTTTCTGATTCGATGATCTTACTTGTTTTAAAAGAGCTGACTCCTTTTATATAATAAGAAAGAGTCACGTATACTAGCTAAATACTAAGTTTATAAGCAAGTTGGGGGTCCTTTGACTTATGACAAGCTAAGCGAAGCATGCTTGATGGCCCGTGAACCTTGGTTCACGACTGAACTCCCTTCCAACTACTAATTACTAGCTAAGGTCGATATAAATATACCGACATTTATTGAGCTTAAAGAACACTTGCTATCCAAAAGAATATAATATTACCTAAAGTAAAAGGGTTACGCTAATAAGATAGTTAAGCTCTTGAACGACGAGCTGCAATATTAATAAACCTTTAAGGAAATGAAAGAGCAACAAGCAATACCTTTAAGCCTCGACTTAAAGTAGACCGCCGAAAACTTTACGGACGAAAAGGTAATTACAACTCAATTACCACCTTCACTTCTACGAAGTTTAAAAAAGAAAGAAAAAGAGGTCTTAAGCAAGAAGAAAGAAAGGGAAGAGATTGAGAGGTTACCCGAAGAGTTTCTAAAAAAGAAGAAAGATATGGAACGAAATATAAAAGCGATAACAAAGCAAATAGTGTAAACACTTTGCCTGATAGGGTACTTGCTATGGCCACTAAGGCCACACTAGACGGACTTATCTTTTATAAGAAGGCACATATCTTTTAGCTAGAACAATCAACGAGCTTTCTACTTATCTTTTTTAGCACTTCTTTTGTAAGACTATAAGGTCTAGCCTTAGTGTCAGGCTTTTGTATAATACGTCTTTTTAATGCTTCTACATTAGTGACTTACGCAAGGATTTAAACTTTTGGTTTTTGTTTTTATATAGCTTATTATAATCGCTTGATTCGCAGTCAAGTTGACTTTAGTTTATTATTTAGCTTTTTTTATACTTTATAATTATAACTTTAAAACAATTAAAACTTTATTCTCGATGGGTTCGAACTCTAATACGCTGCAATAGCCGAAGTATAATATTTCGGCTTTTTAGCAAAAACTCTTTTTTATTATTAATAAGAAAGAATTTTCATTTATTAATAAAAATACTCTTTTATATTTTAGCTTTCGTCTTGAATTAAAGCAATTGATATAGTCTGAAGTAATTAGCGAAGCTAATCAATTGATTCTTAAGTTTTTTATAGTTTTAATTTTGATTATTAGTTTACTTTTGCAAAAGGTCTATTCTTTTTAATCTCGGATCGAGAATACTTTGCAAAAATCGCTTATTTAGCTCGTAAACTCGGTTTACGAGTTAAAATCAAACAATTTAAAAACCTTTTATCAACTCGATCATTCTTAATACAAATATATATTTAATTTTTAAAATACCGAAAACTTTTTTAAGATTTTTAATATCGAAGTTAACGCCGAGTCACTTCTCCTTTCGTTAAAATCCTTTGAATTTATTAAATCTTTTAATCGTATCTTTTTAAGCTTCGGACTATTTTTATTTTACTTCGATTTTTAATCGGAACTTTTACTTTTATTAAAAACACTTGCTTTAGAAATGCTTTTTAAAACTAATACCGGTTTTAAGATTTATATTACTTTTTTTTTTTTGCTTTTTTATTAAGTTTTATACTAGTTATAATCAACTTTGCTATCTTGCACGCTTTTATAACTGCTCGCATGCTATTATTAAGTGCTTCAAAAGCTCTTTGCTTTAATAATGTTAATATTACCGACTTTATCGAGAAGTACGAAGAGATTTAAAATGACTTCGATATCTTTAAAAACGATCGGTTCGTTAAGCTTTTTCGTTATTATAATAACTTTCGCAAAAAAGTTATTAAAAGCTTGCTCGAATAAAAAGCTAAAAAGGATTAAGCTGCTTTCGTTAAAGCTTTAAGAGCCGACTTTCGTAAAAACGATATTTAACAGATCAAGGACTTAATCGTTTTCTTATAAGAATTTGCTATGCAAAAACGAAATATTAATAATTTAAAAAACTATTATCGCACTTTCTTTCGAATCTTCGAAAAGCTTACTTTAATGCACTTTTTAAGCAAAACCGAATAAAGCCGCTTATTTTTTTTCGGATTGCTTATCGGAATTCGACATAAAACGATCAAGTATTGCAAAGTCGACGAACTTGACTTAAACTTTTATATCGCTTTCGAAGACTTCGCTGCGTTCGCTTTTAAAACCGATTAGAATGCTAAAACTATCGAAGTTATAAATCGAGAAAAGTTTTTTTTAATCAATTTTATTAAAGATATTCGAACTTTAGTTAAAAATTATATCGAGTTAGCTAGCGTGCTTAAGTTTGCTAAAAAAGCTTTAATAGTAATGCCGTTTACTCGTAAACTACGGTTTACGAATAAAAAAAAAAATTTATAAAGTAAGTTTTATAATTAAAAAGTTTTTTAAGCTATAGATCGATGCGATTTATAATCGAATTAATTACTTCGAAGATTAAGTCGCTAATTTAATTATTCGACGCTTTATTTAATTTTAGCTTTAAATTCGATTCGAAGATTATAATAAAGCTTTCATTAAGTATACCGCTTAAAATGCTAAAAATAAAGTCAGCTTTAAAAGTAGAATTTATATTGCTATTATCGGCTACGGATTATAAAGACGAAGAAGAAAAAGAAATAAAAAATACAAAAACTAGATGCAAGATTATAGCTTTTGCGAGAACTTAAAAAATATAACTTAAGCTTTTTATTAATACCGAGATAAATATAAAGCTTTTAAAGACATATTTAATAAAAGATGTATTTATATTAATGATTACGAACGCTTTTGCTTAAAACTCAAAAGGATCGGTGCTTTTATTATTTAAAAGAAGCAAAGAAAGACTTAGTTTAAATCTATCGTATTAAACGTTCGTAAAACGGAATACGATAATATTTTAAAAAATCGATTTATTAGCGGACTTAAGAGTTAAGACTTATAAACATTTGCTTTTTTATTAACAATTAATTTAATAGCTAGCTTAATATTAGTTAGATTAAAACGCTTAGCGATTAATTAATTAGTTAAGTAAGCTTACTATTATTTTTAAAAGACTAGTCGATATTAAAAACATTAATGTTATAAAGTAGACTAATTATCGGTTCATTTATATCGACCTTAGCTAGTAAATAGTAGTTGGGGGGAGCTCACTCGTGAACCAGGGTTCACGGGCCACTAGGCATGCTTCGCTTAGCTTGTCACAGGTCCGGGGACCCCCCAACCTGCTTGTAAACCTAGTATTTAGCTAGTACACGTGACTCCTTTCTATTATATAGAAAGAGTCAGCTTTCTTAGATCAACAAGAACAATCAGAAAAACAAGCAACAATTAAGTATTTTACCACCGAGTGTTTTGCAATTGCAAGTACTTTAACGACGTCACGAATTTTACGAATATTACGAGAGATCGCTACCGGCGATCCAACACTAATCAGTGATTGTTTAATCGCTAACGATAGTATTACTCAATCATAAAGAAGCTAAGATCGATCGAAGAGTTGGGACTTTACTTCTACTTACTCGAAGAGTGTAGAAGTGGTGAGTTTGCGCTATAAGAAGCCTGCAACCGCAATGAAAATCACTATTCAAACACCTCGAATACCTTTCCCTTACAACGGAAGAGCGATTCCGTACCAAGTCGCTTTCTCACACCTCGATACCTTTCCCTTACAACGGAAGAGCGATTCCGTACCAAGTCGCTTTCTCACACTTCGATACCTTTACACCTTTCCACGGAA